CTAGCTCAAATGGTAGAGCGTTCGCTTCACATGTGAGAGGTAGCGGGATTGATACCCACGTTCTCCAGAGAAATTCAACTTTTATTGTGTACCTGGACACACGAAGGGAGAAAGAAACCAGTCTCCTATACAAGACCTTTTTTTTACTTTCCTTTGACATGTTTGCATTTACAGAGGCTCACAGGACAAGGAAGGAAAGGCTTAACGACGAGGATGGGATTCAAACCCAGGCGTGCAGAGCACAATTACAGAGGCTCACAGGACAAGGAAGGAAAGGCTTAACGACGAGGATGGGATTCAAGCCCAGGCGTGCAGAGCACAATGGATTAGCAGTCCATCGCCTTAACCTCTCGGCCTCCTCATCTCGGTGCACAGGGTTTCTTCTAGAAGAAAAATGCAAATTTCTAGGTCACTGCCAGCGCTTTTCACATAGGAACAGGAAAGTCTGAAAACGTGACTGACTAGGAACAAAAGTATAGAATGAATCTTACCCTAATCATTTTGGTCCCATTACAACCTCCAGTTTTTAAAGATCAACTAATTGAGTCTGATTAGCTATTTTGACTTGTAATTTTTCACTGTTGAAACATACATGCATAGCAGCTTTGCACTACGCACGTCCATAACCAGCATCTCTGTGTATGCTGTATCAGTTTGTTTTACACAGAACATTTCACATTTTTCTACAGCATAAACATTGTGTCCATGTGACAACTTTTCTTTTGTGTTGTAATTATCATGACACGTGCACATAAACACACATCACCACAAGCAGTGTTTTTAAGATGTTGAATCTTTTAAAAGCGTCTAGTCCACCATCCTTTAATCCATGGCGCTCTGATTTACCAAGTACTTATTCACTACTGAGTCTAACCTTTGCTTCTTATGCCACACTCAGTCATAGCCCCTAACTTTCTCATTCTTTTTCTTTCTCTGTGCCTGTATTTGAAATGGAAGTTAAGAGTCATTCTATATGCAATTTCTTTTGAGGTTCATTTTTGCCTGTCACCCTAACCATTACATACTTGTCAATGTCTCCAACACTGTCTGTCACTGGGTGTGAGTATCTGCGTGTTCATATAACAAGCCTAAAGAGCCAGGGTGAGCTAATCTTATCTGTTACAGGAAACACATTTCAGAGCCTTGAACCAAACAACTGGACAGGAAACTGGGTTCTAATCTGAGCTTTTGGGAAGGACAACTAGCAAGCTGAAACAGCAACAAACAGCAGCAGAGAGGACGTTCTGTTATGAAAATGACCAGCTGGCTATTGTATGTGCTGGACCACCCAACTGTGCATCATAAATACATAGCTTTCTTTCTGTTTCCTGTCATGGATTCATAAGGTAGACTTGGAAAAAAAAACATCTGTAAGTACTAAGTCAAAGGACATTGGGCTTCACGTTTATCATATTGAATGAGTGCAAAAAACATTTTAAAATCCATTTGAATATGAATGTTCCCCTTGATCTTTCTCTCATCATCCACTAACTCCTATTTCATGAATTTTGATCACTTCACAGTGGACTCTGCAAGATGTGTTAGTCTGGTGTTCACACACAGATGATAATCTCAGTTTCTAATGTTCATTCACTAATGTAGACTGTGGCTAAATGATGAAAGCAATAAACAACAAAACACCATTTCTGGCCATTTAATGTTTAATCTTGGGTACCTCTAGATTAGCTTTGCATCCATCATAACGCCAAATAGTCTGTAATTATTTCAGAATGACGAAACCAGAGTCTCTTCCTAAAAACAAGAGGATAGTTCGTGAATGTGCACAACCACTGCTGCCAGTGTTGTGTCGAAAGTGGACAGCACAATGAATTGCAGCAGCATTAATTAATATGGCTTTTTCCTCCATAGACAGATAAACAATTGTATACAGTATGTACTGATGAAAAGAGGTGTAACACTCTAAACAAATCAGATAACTGAAAAACCTATATTTTAACTGGCATACTGCTGACATAGTAACTTCTCTAGCTTTACAACAATTCTCTCTAGTGTTACAAAAACCACACATTAACAGATAATGTAACGTGTATTTTTTAAAACTTAACATTAAGTACCACCGAGTAGTGGAAACATCACTCCCTTTCAAGTAGCTCCACGGTCGGTGAATCCAACCAGTGGTCACTGCGTCTTCCCCCACACGACCACATACATTCCCAAAATAGTAAAATTGATTCCAATAGGTAGCGTAGCACTAACAACATCATGGATCGTTAATCCACTCGTTAACCAGCAACACATCACATGTAGCAGACACACTGGCCTCAAGCAGTCAAAACAAACAGGTACTGTGCTCCAGGGGGGCTTCAATGGCTGGCTGATCATAGGTTAGACCCGGTCAGGTAAAACAGCAGGTCCTTGTACAAGAACATTCCCAGACATGCAGTAACCTCAGGCCCTGAACTTTTCTCCACATCCTTCGGTCACAGTGCAGTAGCAGAAGGTAAAAATACAGCAACAAATTCGAAAAATTGCACTTTTAAAACGGCACCGGTGGATGTCAGGCAAGCTCACCTGAACGTGCAACTGGCTGGAGATTATGACCGAGTTTCTTCTGCATAGATGTACTAGAACATACTAGAACAACCTCATTTTTTGAGCTTTAGGCCACATCTAAGATGATAATTCACCATTGTAACATTGCAGATAAGTCATAAAACAAGCAAAAGCATGCCATGGGCTCTTTAAGGTCTCTGTTGGGACACCCTAAACACAGGACTCCCAAAACAGGTAGACTGGAGTTGAGTGTGAAACCATCATGACCATGACAGCAAGGACCCTAGATGGTTGGACAAGAGGTAACATAAGCCCTCAACATAAGACAGCTATGTTATTACCTGACAGAATTTCCACAGTTGGGTTATGATGATGGTGAGCTAAGAGACAGGAAGGAATGGAGAACCAATGAAGCAAAGAGGTGTGGGAAACTGAAGGGGAGATAAGAATGCTTTCCCAAAGTGGAGAACATGTATAGAGAGATATAAACAGAGAAATCTATGAGGGTAGGGGAACAATGAGAACAATATCAGGGTTTCCCCCTCCATAGAAAGGCTTAGGTTCAGTGCGTAAATGTTTTGGCAGAATGCGCAAGGCAAATGAATGCAAAAAGGCAACATAACAGAATGAATATAAAAATAATGGTGAGTTATGTGCACTGGAAAAATAACGTAGCCTCCACAAAGAATACATCAAGGAGCCTTTAACTTTGTTGGGGAGTAATTCTTGTTGTGATGATACAGTATATACATATA